AGCGTCAGGTGATGGCGTTTCAGTCGCGTTCAAACCACAAACTACGGGACTTGGCAAAGTGCCGACATGCCTTCTGCTGACGCTGGTTGTCACAGATGCGACCGGGATATGGTAACGCTGTGCAGCGCGTCTGCGGCGTAAGTTGCTTCTAGGCAGAGAATGGGAAAATCAGCCTGTCCCGCGGTTATGAGGCTCCAATCTTCGTGTGTTCGGGCGGGTAACGCATCGACGACTGGGGGCCTGTTAGCCCCGCACTGTCAGGGATGCGCCTCGCAGGTGAGCGTGCGTGCTGTCTTTGAGGATAAACGTTTGTAACCTATTGACCTTATGGCAGAAGAATGGTTGTAAGGGTTTCCTCTGTGTGCGCTTACTGTACTAACCAAATCATTCGCCCCAACACCAACTCCCTTTAATAGCAATAACAGCAGACAGCAATATTCATACTGAAGTGAATCATTGTTTGTAAAAAGTAGAAAAAAAGAACTGACCAGTCAACATATACTTTCACGTTATCATAGATAGGATAAAGAAGGCGAGAAAACTCCGGAATGTAGATCCGATCGATGAAAATCGACACGGTTCGGTTTTCGTCCGAGTCAGACATGTCCTAGAATTTACAAAAAGTTTGGATAACATCCTCGAGATCACAAGAGGATTTATCAGATTCTGCTCCACTCTTGCCTAACGAATCTAATCTCGGCTTGGCGCTTACGAGCCAACCAAGAGAGTAACAGTCATTTGAATAGCAAACCTCTTCTTGCTGGGTTTCTTGCCTCGCTCTAATAACACTTCTACCTCCGCTGGCAGGAAGACGAACAGCTGGTTTTGGAGGAGGCGATGAACCTGATGATGTCTCACTCGCTGAAACTTATATATCATTTCGTATCCCTTTGAAGAGCAGGTGTTCAATCATTCCTATTTTTAACATAATTAGCATTGCCCTTAAGGAATGGAGACGGCCCGATTTTTTACCAATGTGACTTCAGAAACTCACGAGGAATGGATCTGTGTAATGGGTCTGTGAACACGACAGTTCGGTGTCGTTCAACCGTAGTATCGTCACTTTTAGTGCTTTCTCCACTGCTGTCGGATCGACGAGTTCCGTGTCTTCCTTGGTCGGCAAACAGCGCTAAATTCGAAAACTCTGATGGAGCCTGAAAGTGAAGAAATCCATTACGGAATCACTTTTCACTCTTCTCTACCTTAGGCACTGAAGCAAGCATGTCAGAAGCTATACGCAGTTACTTGAGTTAGTTGTTTAGTATGCAGCAGGGTAAGACAGTTAAGGTAGGACATTTGTAATAAGAAGGGGAGTGGTAAAGAAAAACAGATATTCTGCACATGGACTACACAATGAAAAGCTGATGTGTGCCCAGTACAAGAGCCCATGTGCGGGGTAAACTCACACATGGGCTCTTGTACTGGGCACTTAATTCGGACACTCTCCTCAGCCTTGGTATCTCTTGAATCCGTCGACTAACGTGGGTGGGATCTCATTGCCCATAAGATCCAGTGACCGAGTCAAGGAAAGCACACCGTTAACCATAGTATGATTGTTGAAACAAACGGACAACTGATGTCTCGCGGACGGAGGCTGACCCGTGGCCTTCTTGAACATAACGACAATGAGAGATGTTTCGCCTTCTCATGACTCTGGAGGCGGTGGTGGAGGGTGTGTACCAGTAAAAAAGTCTGCCTCTGGTCCTTTTTACCTTGTTACTCTGTGCGAGGTGAACGTAGATGAGCGCCATGAGTGCACTGCGTTTTTTTTTTGTTCCCTCGCCTCCCTCGTCCCCCAACCCCCCGCCCAACTTCAACCCCTGTGACTACCTGTCAGGGTCTGTGAAATATGACGGAGCATTTATGAAAAAGTGACAAAGAATGGTATAACGATTTTGTGCTCTCTGATTAAATACATGGAATGTCTCTCACGCGTTGACAACGATGTAATCAGTCGAGGCGGAATCAGGAGGGGCGGAATTAGCCCGCTTCTGGTTGCCGTGCTTTACCCATTGTCATCGCTTAGGTGGAAAAGTCGTGGGTGAGCTCATATATCTCTATAGAAACCACCCCAGCTGACTCAAGTGTATATTCGTTATTGAACGGGTATTGCACAGAAAGAGAACCATTAATTATTGTGCGGATTGGAACACCCCTAATTCTTGATTCAAAACAAAAACACTCTCCGAATTTTTCGGAAGCGGATTTGATAGCAAAGCTCACATACCTTCGTTAGACGTGGCTTAGCGATTGGAGGAAGGTCTCCAAGCAGACTCCTGATTTCGTCTCTGGCCTTTTGTTTCTCCGTTTGGACCGCTTCCTCAGGAGCGACATCTTCAGGTCCACTCTTATCAGCTACAAATGGAGCAGTCTTAGGAAAGTGCGATAAAGAGCAGTAATGATGGCTCACTTGGTGTTGACGAGCTCCGATCGATTTCATTTTTGGAGGGTTGAGGCAAGTCGGCTGGATCCACTTGAGAAGGGGTACTCGAAGATGACGGTGATGCTTTTTCATCATCTTCATGTACTTCCTCTTCTGCCGGGACGTCAGCGATCGAAGGCGATCGGGCCGAGGCGCCCTTGACCGAGACCGTTTCAATTCTTAAAGCATGACGGGAATTAGCAGATTCTTCTCTTTTTAGCTAAGTGTAGGAACTAAATCACACGTGGGAATAAATGAAACTAAAGAGAGGTAAGGAGAAATGGAGGGAAAAGTAAGACCTACTCTTCTCGCTCCGACACAGCGCCATCTCTTTCGACGCTTTCCGCGACCGATGGTATTTTTGGACTCACGACGGAAACGGGTGAATACTCGTCTTCTAACGACGAACTAGCTGATCGGATGTTGTCAACTGAGATCTGCGACGGCATCACTGGGCGAGATTCCGGGGATTCCCGCTAAATGACCTTGATTCATTCAAAGTTTTCCACTCAACTTTACCATACTATTAGCATTTTTTGACAACAAGTTCAATCCCAAATAAATGAGAAAATACCAAGAAGTCGAAGGAAGATGCGATTGGTGCATGAGTTAACACTGTACCCGGTAAGCCCGGCGTGGGACGTAACTTGCTGCTTATCAGCACATAAGTAAGTAATCTGTGAGATCGGCAAAGAGCTTCTCTTGTCGCAGCTTCGGTAGTTCCCCAAAGCGGTGGAGAATGCAAAAAATTTCAGTTTTGATCTTGATCTGAATCTTTTTCTTCTTTAGGAGCTCTAACGGGCAAGGTCGCAAATCGACGTCGATTAAAATTATAGATTTTGGCACCCATAATAGCGAATGGGGGCAGTATCGCAGCATTTCCGCAAGGGTTTTGATTGTCCTTATATGTGTGTTGTTCCGATCTGCTTCACAAAAATCATCGTTTGACGCGAGGTGTGAGCTGGTTAAGTGTATTCAAGTGTAGCATAGCACCACAACGTCCCACAGGACGGCCCATTTGTGGCCAAAATTCGGAAATCGATAAAAACCCAGTATCAAACCTCTTTTGGTGGACTAGCCACGGCTTTTGGAGTTTCTGCTTCTGAAGGAACAGGCTTGGCTGTTGTTCGGGTGAGAGCAAGTTTCCACATGATGGTCACGTCCAAGTAAACGCCACAATCTGAGCCATCGGCCTGAATCATAGCTTATAGTGGAGTGCATCTCGAAATAAAGTGCGAGGACATTGAAGGCTGTGATTATGAGAAAGTAAAAAAAGTGGTTGATGTGTGGTTCTCCTGCAGGAAAACCTTACCTGAGAAACCGAAATCCACTAGCAAGCTCCATAAACGGAACCTCAGAATAATCACACTGCCCCTGCTTTCCCAAAAATCGGATTGCAGACGTCCGTTTACCAAGTACCATTAATCCCATGATCTGACAGCCCCTAGTGGGAGTCCACTTGCAGTCCGTATCTCGGAGATGGGGAGGGCATGTCCAAGACGCGGCAGCGCTAGACAGTCTACGGCTCAGACAAGGCGCATGCAGCCCAAGCAGACCACAGGGTCGTGGTATGTGAAATGGCGGTGCCACCATGACCTCCCAGCCGAAGAAATGTCCCGGGAGGGCCCCTCCCAGGCTCGTACTGTTTGCTCTGACGAAAGGTTTAGATATGTAACGATTTGCAGACGCTTGCGACCGCTTTGATACCACTCTGCACAATATCACTGAAGCACACTTGGTGGTAAGGTAACTGCAGGGCTTCTTCTGAGGGTTAACTTTTCAGAAGGGGGCTTTTTTAGAAACGAAAGGGGGCATGTTGAAACAATGTCTCATTGTCACGATCAATTTTGGTGGGGTTTCAGATGGGTTAATGGTTTTCGCATGCGAATTTTATGCTTGGACGACAACAACTTCTTTAGTACGCAATCATCTGCAAAGTGAAAACATCTTTACAAAGCGCAGTGTTTAGCTTTCTAAAGTATGCTAAGTCCTTCTAAAAGCCCACTAGTTCAGATGGTCCTTTACACGAGTTTTTGATGGGCGAAATTTTGAGCCTTCCACAAGCTCGACTCCTATCGTTGGTTAGAAGACCCACATTCTGTAGTCTTGCACACATCCGGGTCCTCTGTAGTACTGCTTCCGCTCCATCAGAGCGATGCTCATTCGCGCAGTTTGGTGCTCACTGACGCTGCGCTCACGACTCCCCCCCCTCCCCTTCCGTAGCGACCGTGTACGACGCCCGTGATGGGTTCTGCACAACGATGCGGTTTCCTGAGCTCAAAGGCAGTTGGCACGATGATTTGGTGCTCGGCCTAAAATGCTAGTAGGGCGCTGTATAGTGGGGAAATGGCGAAAGAACGGAGTGAAACGGTCAAAATCCTGCGAAGAAAAAGCCTCCGTTCTCAGTGACTTGTAAATCGATTTCGGACGAGTTTCCCGTAGGCATCTTACCAATCACCGCTACCGAAGATACGGCTGCATATGTGTACCCATATACAGGGGGGCCAAAAAAAGTCACTTCGACCGAGTCACATATCAGCAAAGTTTTCGCAGCCCAGAGAGAAGACGTGGATACGAGTACCAGGGCGGAAGATACCCAAGATGTTCCTCGATAAGCAGGAGCTGGCCCTCGCCCATCAC